CATACACCCCCTTATTTGGTTCCATGTTGCATGAATGATGCTCACATGGGAGAGGGGATCATGTGTCCGCGTTCTCTTCCCATTGTCAGATTGTGCTGCCTACAAACCTGAGCCATGTCCCGACCACATGTGAACTGAATCAGACATCCTACAGCACACACCTATGTGTAAACAGACCTGGAAAAAGCATCTTCTAACCATATGTTCCCGTATCACGATTTCAGTGTGTGGGTGGCTCAGAGCTGTGTGTGTGTGTGTGTGTGTGTGTGTGTGTGTGTGTGTGTGTGTGTGTGTGTGTGTGTGTGTGTGTGTGTGTGTGTGTGTGTGTGTGTGTGTGTGTGTGTTAATGCAGCAAGGTATCTTTTCTCTCCCCGTTCTCTCTTTGTCTCTGCCTGTCAGTCCGTCACACTCTCTGCAACCTCCCTCTTCCCTTCCTTTGTAGTATCCCTAATTTGTGGAAAAATGATACAATTTTGTCATTTTCTATAAACATCCTAAAGACGCACTCTTTTACCCTTGTATCAATAAACCATCTACAGGATAAAAAGATATAATTTCGGTCTTTATTGATCTGGTGCTACTGCCTGTAAAGGATGGTGGGATTTAATAACACAGGTGCAAGAGTTCGGTTCATAATTACATGTATCGACCAGCGAGGACAACAAACACCCCTCGAGTGAAAGAAGAGCAGCCCGTGAGTGTGTTTACAGTACAGCGTGTGTGTGTGTGTATTTACAGTTCAGCGTGTGTGTGTGTTTACAGTTCAGCGTGTGTGTGTGTGTGTTTACAGTTCAGCGTGTGTGTGTGTGTGTTTACAGTTCAGCGTGTGTGTGTGTGTGTGTTTACAGTTCAGCGTGTGTGTGTTTACAGTTCAGCGTGTGTGAGTGTGTGTGTTTACAGTTCAGCGTGTGTGTGTGTTTACAGTTCAGCGTGTGTGTGTGTGTTTACAGTTCAGCGTGTGTGTGTGTGTGTTTACAGTTCAGCGTGTGTGTGTGTGTGTGTGTATGTTTACAGTTCAGCGTGTGTGTGTGTGTGTTTACAGTTCAGCGTGTGTGTGTGTGTGTTTACAGTTCAGCGTGTGTGTGTGTGTGTGTGTTGTTTACAGTTCAGCGTGTGTGTGTGTGTTTACAGTTCAGCGTGTGTGTGTGTGTGTTTACAGTTCAGCGTGTGTGTGTGTTTACAGTTCAGCGTGTGTGTGTGTGTGTTTACAGTTCAGCGTGTGTGTGTGTGTGTTTACAGTTCAGCGTGTGTGTGTGTGTGTTTACAGTTCAGCGTGTGTGTGTGTGTGTGTTTACAGTTCAGCGTGTGTGAGTGTGTTTACAGTGCAGCTCAGAAGATTCATTGTGACATTTCTATAATTAATTCAAATGCTTAAGTGCACTGAACCTATGATCTCATGATGCCTTTATGTGAAATGCATACATGCATCTGATATTGTCTCAAGAATAACATGCAGGGGTCCGTTTCACAAAAGCTATTTGCTAGCTCAGCTCACGTGCAAACGGTCCACTTCCACAAATGTAGACCTTGCGAGGGAACTCAGATGCTCAGGAACGCATTGCAGGTATGGACTTTGCTTTGATTAGTGAAATGTGTCAGAATTAACAGGAGAGCATGTGATCTTAAGTTGCACATTTGGTGAGATGGGACTAGTCACATGCATGCATAATTTCCTGTCATTTCCTTGTGCAAGGGTACGCATTTTGTATCCCTTGGGGAAAAGACAGACAGCCATTAATGAGTAAATATGGCAGTTATAAAACAAAGCTGAAGAAACACTGGAGACAAACAGCTTTATAGCATGGCAATCTTTACAAAGAAATAGGTATGAAAATTATACAACATCCTAATTTTGATTGCCCAAATACATATGTGTCTGTCATGATGTGTTTGTCACCACAACTAGCTGTACTTGAGTGCTACGTGCTGTCAAAGAGAGTTGTTATGACTGGACAGCTTTAATGGAAAGACATTTTAACTTTCTGTGTTGGGGACAAATGCTGCGTTGTAGATCTTCTTTAAATCATTGTCATTAGCAATTATTTACTATACAGTATCCTGGGAAAATCTGCTGAGCATGCATGTTCTTGAGCTGATTTAAGTGAAGTGTTTTGCTCTAGGATATTTTAGCAATAGCTGCTGATGGAAAGGAAAGGAAAGGAAAGGAAAATGTTGCATTTGCGGATTTCCCTCACTGGTTTGTCAGTGTCTTTGCATGTCTGTTTTCTTTCCAATTAATTTAGTGTTATGCCAACAGGCTTTTTACAGCGTCCCATGCGAACTTGAGCTGCAGCCCCATCACGTTATACATATTACCCAAACAACCGCACTCCATTAATAAGAGTCATTATTATGAGCTATTACACCAGAATTGCATCGGTGACACTGGAGAACATCCCACCCTCTGTTGTGGTAATTATAGCTCACTGAAATGTAGACATAAATGAAATGATGCAGATGTAGAAAATAACTGGCCCTAAAGCCTCAGTGAGGCGTACAACTGGGAAACTGTTTTATTTTTCTTATTTCCCTCAATTAAATCCAAGTATATACTTAGCTCAGTGAATGGGGATTTGAAAGAATGCAAATTACGATGGAGCATTAAAACCAAATATCCCATTAGCTTGGGGCTATAATTATACACAGATGGGACAAAATAAGAGAAATCTGCCTATCAATCTATCTAGCCATCTATCCATCTATCATTAAGCACAGTGTGTCTCTTACTGCTGTTAATCCAAATATAGATTGAGGCTAACAACAATTTAAGCTCCAAATTACTTCAGGGATAAAGCGGCGACGCAAACACACAATATCACACGCACTTCACGTCCGAACACAAACGAGCCCCCCCCCACTAATTAGCATTCCCTCTCTCAGTGTGCATCCCTCGACGTCAGAGACACCTCGGACAAACCCCCCGTTAGGAGGAAGGGGTCGGGTGTGTTTGTGGCTGCGAGCTAGCCGGGCTCTCATTATGCATCCTTCCCTGAGATAACACTCGGCCTCACCCAGGGCTGTGAATGTCACTGTGATTATACACAATCTGAGCCTAGTGGCGTGACAAGAAAACATTGCATGCACCTCCCCACCCTAACCGCCATTTTTCCTTTGCCACAATCTCACCTCCCCACATCCCCACTCCTCTACGTCCACCTCCCATCTCAGTCAATCAATTCTTCGTGGTGAAATCACAAGGTGACCTGGACGGCGTTGTCCTAGTAACCATTGCTACACAACTGTTGCCTGGTCACCGTGCCACAAACAAGCCCGGCGCACAGCAAGGCTTCAGTGTTGCAGAGAATGAGAATAAGGTAGGAGAGAGGGGAGAAATAAAAGGCTGGAGGGAGGGGGGTGAGAGGTCACACTCCGGCTTCTGCTGCCCACTTTCATTTAATGATACCCTTCAAGGTGGCTTCTCAGCCCAGAGCACCGATAAACAAATGTCAGGCAGATCTAAAAAATGAATTAAACACTTTCAAGTTGCAGATAACCCAAATATTATTCAGACTCATACGTTTATAATGCAGGTACGGCTTTTCACAATAACCAGCAGACCTGTTTCTCCATTATGTCTTTATTATGCCATTAAAATGACGTGTTTTTATACTCATGCTTCCGTTTCTCCAATGACGCTTTATTAGGAATCCTCTTAGGGCGAAACACTCTAAAGTATAAAGTACATCCAAGCTGGGATTTATAAAAAGAGCACTCTAATGAAGTACTTTATCAAGCCTGCATGAGCCTTCGGAAGCATTTTTCATTATTTTACGGTGGTTCTAGTCCAGTGCGATATGTCAATATGTAGCATAGGATCTGACAAAATGATTCATGCAATGCTAATTAATCAATTCAACGTTCTCTGCTAATATCCATTAATTTCCGGCGGAGGAAAAAAAATAATTAAGGCGTTTTAACCTCTCTGTGCGCTGCATTAATCTTTCTGCATACATACAGCAACGTTTGTGCACATTCGGGAGAAAGGATACATATACTATTATTTGTCGATACTGCTTGTACTGTATTGTTCCTGCAATCCATACCAAACTGCTGTATATTTGCAGGGCCTTAATTGGAAACTAAAAGAAAAAACACATTGATTCCTACTGTGTGTTTTCATTTCATCACATGTAAGTGTGAATTACAAATGTGATATTTGAAGAGACACCACTGTGCTTAAGTCTTTGATGAAAGGACATGTCTTTCATTACACAGATATCTGATGCCAGCTGGCAAGAAGAAAAAAAGGCTGACTGAAAGCGGGGGGAAAAAATATGTTTTCCGGCAAGGAAGACTTTGTGAGGGAGGTGCAGTAAATCCACTGTTTACAACAACACCCACACCCAGACAGGGACCTTGAATGTCCATGAAGAGCTCCATTCCCTTTTTCACTTTCAAATCACCTTATCCTAGGATTTTTTGGATGCCATCCTAAAAAACCAAGGCCATAATTTCCATCCAATTTGTTCCCCCTCTCTGCATGAACACTGACAGATTGTCATATTCTGGCCACGCTCCCAGAGGAGAGCTGTGAGAGGCAGGAGGGCAGATAAACGGCTATTATCATTCACACTGCCTCATTACTGAGCCTTTAGACCTATGGGCATCAGCCCCAAAGCACCAAGCAGAGGGCGTTGATGCTGCCACCATGCCCCCCCTTACAGTTCAGCCCCATGCCCCCCGCCCCAGGAGCTCTGCGCCATGGAACCTGTGATTGACAGTAGGCGCTAATTTATTCTCTTCAAAAACAGCATAGTTCAAAACCTTTTTTTTTTGTAATGAACAGTCACCTTGCATTGTGAAGATCATTTTTTATGTTCACTGAAGTGACTGTAGCATAAACCTCCCCCCCCCCTTAAAGGTGCCATTACGTTACATATGGCTTCAGATTGATTTGGTCATTTGGACATGAAGGAATGGAGTGCAGCTATGAGCATGTTTTCTGCAAACACAGCATAACATTTGCATTACGTAAGCAGCATATAAAGGTTTGAGCCTACCGTCATGAATCCATCCAGCAGGCCTGAGTCGGGTTTGGGGGGGGCTTGTAGCCGCTCCATTGACCACTTCTCGATGATGGACGACACCTGAGAGTTTTCTGTGTTGAGGATGCGGAACCCGGTCATGTTGACTCCACTAAAACGATACGGCTCCATGTCGAGGGCAAAAAGGTCCTGGATACATAAAGATGAAAATCTAGATGTGTTCAAGCTGCCAACAATAATTAATTCCTCAACTTTTCCTGCACTGAATACTAATCTCATCTGTCCTCAATAATTAAGAGCAGCCATTTGAGTTGCAGCTTTAGCAAGAGGGAGCAGAAGAGTGCAGTTGAAGGTATTTCAAGAGCTGTATTATCTCATGCTGAGGCAGCAGCCTTGATGAAGGAAAGGCTTGCAAGGTTACAGGCCGGCTTTTGGTGGACTGCCATCTATCATGTGGAAGGGAAAGGACAACCCAATCGTCCTGCATACAGCATGTCTGGCATCTCACCAGGCAGATGTCTTTGGGATGCGACTACACAGTTGACAGAGCGACAGCAGGTGATGAACTCACAATGGCCGTGCCACGGTCAATGTTTGCTGTCCTTTTCCGAAACCAGCATGGATGGCTCGGTCCCAGTATACAGCAGCTTTGGCCGGCATAGTGGCCTCTAACCGGCCAAACACTGGCTGATGTTAAAGTAGGCATGTTTCCACCCGACAAGCAGCAGCATGCCACTGACAGAAGCCTATAATCACTATTCTCTTTTCTTTCCCAATGACATACCTGCTTCCACTCACTCCCCTTTCATCTAGACAGGTTCGTCCGTGGCTACACAAGAGATAGATAGTTGCAGGCCCTGTGCACTGTCAAATGTCTTTTTCAGGTCAGCTTTCTCCAACCTTTCCTTCAGACTTTCCAATTGTGAGCCAAACAACACAGCGTGAAGTGTGTTTGTTAGCTATAATGGACCAAATGGGTGCCAGTCATCTGCTCAGGGCTATTATCCTAGCTCTCAGTCTTCTGTTCTCTGGGCTCTGCGGAGATTTGCTGCTGTTCATCTGCAGTGTAGCAAGCAATCTTTGCAGTGGCTAGATCAAAGAACTTGGGAGAACTTCAATAGCGCTGCCAGAGTCAGAATAAAATATATCCAACTGCTTGTGTTTCCTACTTTCAGGTTTGTGGACAGCCGCATTGGGGGGCAAAGGTATGTGCTGTATTCAGGAAATAAACTTGAGGTAAACTTTCACAACTTCAATATGCGAGGAGTATTTTTGTAACCAACTACAATGAGTGAGCTCAAGGCCGTCTATTATCACAAATGCAGGTTGTAGTTCAGGTCCACAAGGCTTCACACACAAGAACAAATTAAAGTGTTTTTTTTATTTTGACACGCTCCTGGGTGAGTCATATTTAATTTGATTCTCAGAGAAGAAGAATAAACTGCTTTGAGACACCCGGATGTAATTTCGCTCAAGCAGTGCAAGACGCCAAGGAAAAATACAGTTGAACACATTTTTAAGTAAATAATGCTCCGCAAAAAAAAATGACATATCCTATATAATAGCAATTTGTCAACATAAAAGCAGAAGTGGCAGCGTACTCACCAGGGTAGTAAAAATATAATGGTAGTACTCTGTCATCATACCCATGGCCAGGGCCTATAGGGAGAAAATAACATCGGGTAGTAAATACAAATGTAAAGATTAATGTAATTAAATGTAATTCTTTATCAAGCTTTTATTGAACCTGTATAGTCTGACATCCTTAAATGGTGGGATTGGTAATTGATAATAAGTAGAATCATTATTACACTCTATAACCATCACGAATACAATAAGACATAGCAGTAATTGGATAGTTCACTCTACCTTTAAAACAATGGCAGGACATAAGTTGGAGAAGGAACTGAGTTGAGCTGCTGACATACAGTTCATGGTTTACTCTGCCTAGTATTCACCATCAATAAATAATCATTCTTGTTGCTTCGCGTAGACACACAGCTGTATTGAGAATTCAAGCAGTGCAATACGCTTCAGAGAAGACTTCTGTTCAGTAAAAGAAAACCCAGACTATTCTCAGAAGTAACGCGCCTCTGTAAAACGAATTTAACATGCCTGTGAGCAGAGTTAGATTTTCTAATTAAAAAACCTTTATGGTGCAGTGAAGAGCTTCCATTATGGAGGGACAGTTGGAGAGATCTAATATTCTACAAAGAGATTAAAGATGGAGCAGAAAGTAGGTATCCAAATAATTTGCTCCAGTGCTTTCAGAGAGAATGAGCAATAAAGGGGAACAGATACTGTATTGGCTTATTATTTTAGTGCTTATACATAATCAATTAACTATGAGTCTATGTATTTAGTGCTGAGTCTATCTTTTCACAAGGAGAAAACCTAACATTTAACTATTATTATTTGATAACTCAATGAATTTTACAAATGATTTCAACCATCCTATTAATACATGTAGCAGACTGGTTCATATCCTTATCTGACATTTCGGTTTAAATATTGAACCTAAAGGTAAATTGGATGGAGTATACAATACATAATAAAGACATTATGAAATAAACAATTATATTAATTAAATGTGTAAAACAAAGCCTTTTAATCTTGAATATTGAAACAATAGTATATTAATAGTATATGTTATTCCTTCAGTTTGATAACAACATTGGGAATCATTTCTATTTAATTATAGACGATTTCAAAAGGTGTTTTTATTTCATATTGGATTTTTTTTCCAATTACACTCCATGTCACCTTTTATCTCAAACTCTCATCTTTCATGCCGATGGAGTTGTCAATAGTCGCCTCTCACCTTTAAGTGGATTACCTTCTTCAATATCACATTGGAAATGGTGTTGCTCCAGAGATGCTAAATGGTTAGATCTAGAATCGGGGTTTTGAGCTGGAGGCATGTGATTGGTTGATAGGTAAGAGGGTGGTATCATAAAGAGTGGCAATAGTAAAGGAGACATCGTGAATATAGAAATGACTTTTGAATAAAACCGTATTAAACTCTGTTATTATTGGAATTAGAACAATTAAGTGGTTGTTGATGATAATGAGTTGACTTTTAATCATTTTCAAACTCACTTGGTATTTTATTTAACTTTTTTGAAATATTGAAATATTCGTGTTCCATTTATATATTTTACACACTTTATCAAAAATAACTATGATGGATTAATCCAACACTTCAACTCCATAGATTACCCTATCGTGGCTCAATACCCATACCTGTTTTAGGATCCAGGCAGCCATCTCATGTCCACAATCAAAGATGACATGGAACTCCTTTGCCTTCTTCATCTCCTTCAGAAGTGGCTTGGCATCCTTGGTCTCGGTGGGCAGCTGTCGGATCTTCAAACGAATGTTGTATCGTGACGGTGCCTTGATCAGCTCCTGCAGTCGAATAAGACCTGCAAACAAAGAGGACACATATAGCGTGAACAAATGAATTTTAAAGACGCAGCTTCAATGTGTTTGATCTGCTGCCATTTTGAAGTATCTCCGATGCTGAGGAGACCACAATAAACAACTGGATTCAGGTTTTCACAGCAGGAAAAGGCTCATATGCATGCCTTCCTAATCCACCGTCTATTGATCCTCCCACTCAAGCTTGGCAGGCAAACAGACTGCTTCAGCACCTATCAAGAGAATTTAACACCAACCCAGCACTCTTTTATAACAAAACAGAAAAATGCAAAGAACCACAATCTGCACCCTCCTACAGAGACTTCCAATCCCACAGAAGCCTCCCAAATGCTGATTCGCTCTCGTCCTCCACGATACCATAGAGCAGCATGGAATAGGTTCATTTTTATCCTGATGGAAAGCTGCTGTCAATCGTGCCTCTCCACTCTCTCTCACACACACTTCAGATGTGCTCTGATGAGAGGGCCTCTGTTTGCCCAGCTTGTACTTGCCCGTAGGGAGCCCGGCGCCTCCGTCACATATTGAGCTACAATCTTCACCTTTCATTTCTCGACCACACATTCAGGTAGAAAGCTCTCCGGGAGATACTGCGATGAGATTACAATGAGTTTCTCCCTCAGTAAAGAACTCCAGAGTGCTGGGATGAAAGAGGCTGGATTGATGGGAGAGATGATTACTTGTCATGGGTATAAAAATGGATTGAGCAGGGAGGATAGTTTGAGAGGGGACTAGAGAGAGATAGGATTTTTTTTTCTCTTTCTCATGGAACCACTTAAAGATAGCTCAGCCTATTTTTTATTTTGAAATGAAGTGCTGTGTGAGCAGTTTAATGGTCTTACTGTGAGTGGGGCTGGGTCTCCCTGAGGCATATACAAAGATTGGTGTGAAATAGGAACATGCAGGTCTTGTTGTGAATTGTCCCATTGTAGGGAGGAATACTGAACCACCTAGAGCTTTGCAGGTAATCCCAATAGATCCCTTCTCTAGGGCATGTCCGCGTTTCCCTGTTTTTGTTCGTACCGACACTTTGGGAGGTGTTAAGCAAGAAAAAAAAAATCTGTCAAGGGAGCTCAACGTTTGGGAAACACTGTCAGGGTAGATGTTTGTGGGCTCTGGCTAATGCCTTAAGACTTTCCCTCTGGATCTTCTAACGGCTGTGTGTGAATATTTTATCTCCTCCGATAGTTTTTCCTGCCAGCCGTCAGATAGGCTCCAATCAGCAGAGCGGGGCCCTGGAGCATGAAGCTGTGTGATTACAGTCTGGGACCAGGTGGAAGCGGAGGGGAGGGGGGGGGCGGTGAGAAGCTACGCGGCTATTCAGCTGTCACACTTTTTTCAGGGCGTCAGGTGCGTTATAGCAGAAATGCTCCACAGAGGAGGCCCACGCCGCTCCTCTCTGACAGAGAAAGAGGCGAGAGGTCACCCCTGACATCTCACTGGGGCAGTTTGTTGGAGAATCAGGGTGTTAACGTTCGGAGCTCCAAGGCAAGAAGTAGGTCAAGGTGATGAGTCAGAATAATGTGGCAAGTGAGACGAGTCATTGGGATACAGTCCGAGGTTAGCGTACGGGCACTAGCATGCTGAAGGAATGGTTGTTTCCTGAAATCTCTGCAATAGGAATGATGGAGAAGGCAACAAGTGATAGTAAAAGGAAGAGAAAAGGGCATTTAGATTTCTATTCAGTGGCAACATTTAAGATGTCAACTATACAATAACCATTTGCTCTGATTAGGAAGTGAATTCATTATGCAACCTGTCTGAAAATGTAAGCCCCCTTTCAACTCTGTCTAATTTACCTACATTAAACCGTCAACCACATCATGCCAAGTAGCTCGTAAATTGCGAATGAGCATTAGAATATTGTTATCTTCTCTGGAGCGATTACACTTCGCCTCATGAAAATATCACCGCGCTCCGGCAAAAATGTGACACGTCTTTTAAAATGCATATTATGAGCCACTCCACAAAGTCAGAGGATAGACGAAATGACTCACAGACACATTTAATCGTCACCCTCAGAGATCAAGTGTCTGCATGTTATTAACGTCTGTTGCCAGCGCTGCCATACTGCAATTCTGCTTTGCATTAATCTGAAGGGACACTGGGTCATTCTGGGAAATGTGGTCTCTTTTTTTCAATGTTGCTGCTCACTCTCCTGGAAGACTGACGTGGGCAGCACCTGCAGGACTAAGGCAGAACAGTAAGCTATTGATTTCTGAATTAACTTGACAGGTTACAAAGCACTCTGTGAACTCTGAGCAGCAGTGCAGCTTTTTTTTTAGCTCACCTTGTACCTCTTGTTTTTTTCTGGACATTTTAAGGGCCAAAGGAGCCAGGTTTAAAAAAAAAAAAAACGGACACACTTGGCATGCAAAACAGAACCACTACAGAAGGAGGAAGACAGACACCGACTGTACCTGTACCTGTGCTGTCGTCGTACACCACGGTAACGGTTTTCCACTTGAAGAAGTGCACCAGGTCGAGGATGGCTCTGCTGAGGGACGAGAAGTCGGGGTACAGGCTGACATAGTACGAGTCCCGGTTGTCTGAGATTTGATGCTTCCACTTGGTCTGGACGTGGGGCACTCCCAAAGCATTGCAGATGGACTGGACTGCGTTGGCAGAGGAACTGTGTGAGGGGCCAAAAATGGCCGCCACACCGAGGGAAAGCTGATCACATGCTGGAAAGAGAACAAGCAGAAAAAGCAGCAAGTTAGCTCAGTGTTTCAATGTTGGACTTTTCATTTTTACTGTTTTCTAAATGTTTTTTGTTTTCAGTGTGTGTCCCACATGTCACCTCAAACAGTCAGAACAGATGCTGCTTCATAATGGTCACTACCCAAGGGAGGCGGGGCCGTTTTGTTTGCAAGGACAGCATATGGGTGATGCGATACACAGTTATGTGGTTTTAAACTGTTAATGTAATGTGCCAAAAGCACTACTGTGTCAGCAAAGGCAGAATGGAAGAAGACACGGATAACATTAATATTACAAGGCAATAGAAATAAAGATCTATGTACATGTGAAATTCTATTTTATTAATTTATTGTCAATCCGGTTTGGAAATTCAATGCCCAGATGGTGTCAGAGTACAGTGATTCCAGTACAGTGAATCCCTTTCAGACCTCAATAAAATTGTGGACAGTAAATAGAGTCTGATTTGTCTCCAGTCTTTGGTAGTTAATGTTCACCCCACATAATTTGTCAGCTATTACAGCACACTGTCAATAGCAAACATTTAATTATTCATTTACAGAAAGATGTTGTAACCCAGTTTTGGCAATTTTTTTTATTAAGAAATGTTGTAATTTCCATTGCTTACATTCCATACATTTCTTAAATGCATTGGAGCCATATGAAAAGACTTGTATTTCTTAATTCCTGACATTTCTTTCTACATCCATGAAACAATCGATCTCGACAAATAAATCCATGTCATAGAAAAATAGCACTCATAATGAGGCTTTTTTTAAAAATGTCCTCGTATCTCCGGACTTACCTTTCCTGGAGGCCTCAAAGCTGTCGAAGATGTTTATTCTCTGGATGTCATAGGTCAGCGTGGTGTTGGGGAGCAAGGTGCGGTTCCTGTTGATTGTGTTCAAGGCAAATTTAAAGGCTAATTCCTCTGCTCCGGAAGGGCCGCTCTCAGTGGATTCAAATATTCCTCCTAAGAAAGAAAAATAGAGAAAAATGTGGTTAAGAAAAAAATAAACAGTTCAGAAAATGACCTTTGAATTCTTTCTCTTAAAATCACAATAAATTCCTCAGCAGAAATGACATTCAAGTACATGATCGATATGATGCAGTCAATAACAGCTCAAGCTGTGTGGCACTTTTTCTTCTTCAAAGGAGTTATTGTTGAACGCTTTCCACGGCTCAGTCTGACGCTCATATGAAACTGATTTACAGTGCCGATTAGGCGTTTCGATCGCAGATGATTTGCATTCTGTAGCAATTGTCGGTGTAATTATAGGCAATTAGTTACATCGGGGGGTGAGTTCAGGGGTGAGTGCCCTGCTTCAACTCCCTCGCTCAGCCTTGACAGAAAGGTTCACTCTTCCACTTTGTCCCATTGATTTCAGCAACTCTCAAATGAGAGAACAAAGACAAGCGATAGCAGATTGAGCAGAGAAATAAGGGGCAACAAGACAAAAGGGTATCGGAAAGGAGAAAGAGAGCCATGGGAGAAATCTGTACGATATTTATTGAGGTATAGAAAGAGAGGCAGGAACAGAAACGTTGACACGGGGAAAGGAGAAGGCAAATCAACGCAGGAATAAAGATAAAACATCAGGAAGCTTTTAATTACCCTCATTAAAAACAAGTCGTCTCAGAAGTTCCAATGATTATCTCTGCATCATACTTGTCTGTTACTTTGGTTGATTGTTAATCGGAGGGCCTCCTGAAGGGAGGATCATGCCGTGACCGCCCTGAGATATCTTGTTACCTTTTGGATATATGTGAGTCGCAACGCTTACTAATTATCAAAGTCTATAAACAAAATGAATTTAAAAACTATTTCACAGCGCTGCACAGATAATATAATTACTAATGCAATTGTTTCAATTTTAAGACAATTAAAGTTTCTTTAAATTGTCCATCTACTTCCACCAAGGCAATTATATCATTTGTTATTATGTCGAGACATAATTTACATGCATTTATTTGCCGGTCGCCAAAAATGCATATTGCAGTTACAATTAAATATACATAGTATGACTTTTATTGAATTGAACTATTCACTTCTTACACTGCACTGTGACTTTTATTCATACCTCTGTTATTGATGTTTCATTATCTTTGCTTTTTAATGTTTCTAATGTGTGTTATGCTCTTAATGTCTTTCATTGTTGTAAAGCACTTTGAATTGCCTTGTGTTGAAAAGTGCTATATAAATAAACTTGCCTTGCCTTTAATAAAACAAATGTTTTTTATTGGATTCTTCTACAAGCTGCATCATACTTCATTTCAACTATAAATGGGGTCATTGAGAATGATAAGATCATTTCTACACATTCATCATTAGAAAGAGGTGAAGCTATGTTGTGGGTGGTGCAGTATGCCAGAGTGTGTACTATAACATTTTCAAAGAGAATATTTATATGCCAAACAGCGGAGACAGCTGTAGACTCTAGCAACTACTTTCAACTTTCCAAATAAACATAATACAAAAAAAGGGCAAACCCACATTACGAGGGCTGGTACACCTTTGAGGATGAACTAAATCCTGAGAAAGCTTTGCAGAAATCAAACTTAAAAGAGAATGGATGAGGGGAGGAAAGATGAAAGGGGGTTGTGAGAGCAGCTCTGAGCAGAGTTCAGCGGTCCATCTCCCATCCTCTCGGAGGACAGGGAGTCGGTTTGACGAAATCCAAACGGAAAAAAGTTGAAAGCCTGTTTATCGATTACAGAGAGTGAGGGAAAAGTAAGTCTGAAAGCAAAGAAGACAGAACGAGTGGAGAAAGAGTGAGAGCTGTAACAGAAGCAGACAGCAGCTATTAATAGCGGTTGGAAATGACAGGGAGTGATAGAGGAGGAGTGCAGTAGGAAAAAAAGATGTCATTAAGTTGAGCTTCATCACTGTCACCAGAGCACACCCAGACTTTGTGCTTCTTTACTTCATGTTGGAGCTCTTATAGCCCAGTACAAAAATGAAAGGTGAAATTAGACGGAGAGAGACGTATGTCGCAGCGGGAGTTGAGAGTAAATCTATAAACGCACGTGAGTAGATGTTTTGTGCGCCTTTGAGTGAAAATAATTTGGTTTTCATGTGTGAGTCCTCCTGCTATATGTGATGTGAACATGCTGCTATTCATGGCATTTCATCCGTCTGAAACTTCACATTAATCTGCAAAAGAATGAATAACCGAGAATCACCATTAAAGATGATTGGAATCATGTCAGTCCGACCCGAAAGATAATGATTACCCTTTTGCCTCGAGGGAGCAGACTGCCATCAGCCTGATCATCAGGTTTGTAAAATGGGCATAAGGGTATTAAGTTATGCTCATCATTTCTTTGGCACACTGTATGGAGTGGAGGGGCTGGTTTAAAGGGGCCCTAGTATGCTGATGCTCAGGTTTATATTTGTATTCTGCTCCTCTTCTGTGACCTGTCTCCATGCTTTAATGCCCAGTCTGCTCTGATTGGTTAGCTGGCTGGCTTTGTTGTGATTGGTCAACCACTCAGAGATGTCCTGCCCCAATATCTATCACGTACAATGTGTGGGAGCGCTAGCCAATAGAAGCGTGAGTGTTACATAGATGTCATTATGTTATGGAAGTGAACATAGGAGTCCAATGGAGGCATGGGGGGGTCGGGGGGAACTCCTTCTAGAGGGTGCTTTAGGATTTTATTCTTTGCAGACCATTTAGGGTTAGGGACACTAACAGGAAAGGGAAATACCCAAAAATGATTTTAAACTAATCACATACCTTTGAGAACACTGAACAGGGACATTACATTAAGTCCAAAAAGATTTACAATTTATTTCCAAGGGGATTCCAAGCATTACATTACAGAACACTAGACTCTGATAGGATGAGAATGCATCTCCAGTATCGTTTTCGCTGAATAATAAAAACCCAATTGAGATTTCTTTCCGAAACTAGATTTTGGAAAGTACGCGCACACACTTGTTTTGGTTGTTGCGTATATTTATTGCTATTATCTTCTGTCCATCCATCCTCCTCTCAATACTCTGTGTTGTGGTCCGTCTGATTGCAGGTGTGTGAGTTACAGCTGAGATAATCAGTGTGTGTGTGTGTGTGTGTGTGTGTGTGTGTGTGTGTGTGTGTGTGTGTGTGTGTGTGTGTGTGTGTGTGTGTGTGTGTGTTTGTGAATTATAGTGGTGCCATCGTTGGGAATGGTGTGAATTATAGTGCAAATGAAAGCTCTGAGTGAGTTATGAGCTGGATAATCACCCTGACGAGAAAACAGGCCTGCCGCTGATCTGAGTGCCTCTGTCTCTCCGTGTGTGTGTGTGTGTGTGTGTGTGTGTGTGTGTGTGTGTGTGTGTGTGTGTGTGGGGGGGGATTTGACTCCCTTTTAATATTTGTTCTCAGTTAACCAAGCACATTTTGCATTGATCACTGTAAAGTAACTTTGTCATTTTGCTTTATTTCTGATAGAAATTCACTCCATTTAAAATGAGTTTCTGTTAATAGAAATCATTCATACATTACAAACAAGAGTAATGAAGAAAAAACCTTAAGAATTGTTTCAGCGGTGATCTGTGATTTGTATTACTTTTGGTAAATATATTTTATACATACTGCTCTGAAAGATGGAAACTGACAGGATATTTCCGTCTCTTCACTGCGCTGTGATTACTAGCAGGGTGAGTGTATACTACTACTCAAAGAAAGGGCTTACTTACTAAGCCATGTATGAAAACACAATCAGCCCCCTCTACTCAAGGATGCTCTTTTATGCCGGGAGATGGTAGTCAGATAAGTTGCCATGGAGACTCATGCATCTATGCTATGGCTGAGAGGCATCGGCCGTTTTGGAGACTGAGCAGCTGATTGGTTGAGGAAGGGCTGTCTCTGTGACTAATGACCAGCAGCTGCCGGGATAGTGTTGGGCTGTAGGGTGGGTGCCATGGCAACCAGCGAGCAAACCATGTCACGGTGCAATCGGCCCAGGTAAGAAGGGAAGATAGCCTTTAATACCTCCACCCACCACACCCAGGACCCCTGGCCTGCTTCTGTCTCCCTCCGTCATTCAGCCGGTGAGCAGAGGTGCTCAGAGCCAATAGGTAGGAGGCAAAAGTGATGGAAACACTCCGTAAATATCCCAGAGATTCCCCAAAGGGAACGCTCCCTGACATGTTTGGCGGTGAATGGGACATGATGCATGAAGGCCTGCAGAGAGTCGCCGCCCCTGGTCATTAATCTGAAGATCCCCCTGTGGTAAACTGACCTTCCAGTGTTGCACAAGGGCCAATTTTCTCTCACGCAGAAAATCCCCGGGAAATCTGACCATCTAATACAGTCTGCTCACCATTGCTTCAGTAGTGATAAGAGCAGATACAATCTCACAAAGCAAGATAAGGGAAGCAGTGAACTTGGTAAAAACAGATATATTTTTTTCTAAGAATATACTTGAGGAAAAGTTAAAAAAAGAGAGACAAACTCCATCTTGAATCTTATTAGAGAAATGAGAATAAAAACAATAGTGTAAAAATACTATAGCATAGAATAAAATACTTGTAATTGAGGTATTGCATGAAAGACCAAGCTATAAAAACTTCTTGTAAAAACGCACAAAAGCACTCTTAATAACTTAATAAATAATTCCATTAGAGTTATGGAAATTGAACATGATACCAACAGAAAGCAGCTTACATGAACAACAGTTTAGTCATTGTTATCTCACTTGTTCTGATCGTTGTGTGTTTTTTCCCCAGGGATAGAAACACTCCTGTCACCCTAAAGCCTCTTGACACTGGACTGGACTGTCACCTGCCACCGCTCGACGCTAAGCCCCAGGCTGACTCACACACTCGCACGCACCCCTGAGATTGAGCCTAAATAAATCTGTCAGGTAAGAAACAACTGAGTCTTTGTGAAAATGCGGGTGCGGCATTCACACATACTTAAGTTTAGTTACACCAATAATAATTAGCTCTATCATTTCCAAAAAGGTCAATTTAATCAATCTCTT